TAGGGACGCGTGGGGGTGGTCTCCCGTCAGCGACCCGTGGGTCCGGATGATTCTGGATTATCGCTTGGTGAATTAGCAGCTTGGCTTCATGAATCCTCGGCACCACAATAATGGGAGTACCAAGCTGGTGTGCTGCAGCGGCAAGAAGGTCGGCCGTCTCATTACCCAAAATGCCTACATGTGAGGGCAACCATTGGAATGATATTTCCCAGCCCTTCGCTTGGAGGTTTCTTGCAAGGTGAGCAATGTATCGGGCATATTGAGGGGCATCATCAAGATTACCGAGATGTTGTAGCGCTATTTTTGAGTCGGTCAGGAGCAAAGCTTTCCTGCAGTAAGGAAGTTTCTCCAGGGCGTCAAGTCCAAGTCTAAGGGCCACCAGCTCAGCGGTTGTTGATGTGGCGTGGAAGCTGAGCTTTCTGGCATGAGACACATTCAGGTCAGGTATATAAACCGCTGCGGTAGATGACTTGCTGCTACGAAGAACTGAGCCGTCGGTGTATATTCGCATCCATCCTTGGTACAGTGTCTCAATATGATCCTCTGTAGTTGTCCGGGCAACGACCTGTGCTGTGTTGCGTTTGCTTTTGAGCATTGGAACAGTCTCATTTATGTTCAGTGGAGGGGCATATGGTGGCGGTGCCGGGTAGTCGGTGTCCGGATCACCAATAAAGGCCATAAACTCCGTTGCCAGAGAACCAAGGCAAGAAAGGGGGCGTTGGCGAAGGCGATTCAGAAGAGGAGCAGTTGAGCGACAGACAGTTTGCCTCGCTATGTGTCGGAGTGTTAGTTCTCTACCGTGATTTTCCACTAGGTTTACCCTCGCTTCCACTAGTGTTGGAACGTTTGGTGAATATCTGGGTAATCCAAGGCACAGACGAACTGCCACTCTCTGAAAAATCTCTACTGCTGAACTCTGGGTATTGCCGAGGTTCACCAGTGGCAGTGCGTATAGCAACCTTGAAAGAATAAGACCTCTGTAGAGATGCATCATCATTGCCTGTACGGTCCCCCATCTGCTGCCAATGGTCATGCGGATAGCGTTGAGGTGTCGGCGACATCTGATAATGGTTGTCTTGACTGCTGGTCGCCAAGAGACTCGATCATCCAGGAGGAAGCCTAGATAGGAGTATGTTCGAACCCTTGTCACGTTTGTCCCATTGATCGTGTAAGTTCGGTTGATGGAAGACCTGGCCGTAGGGTGGTATTGAAGAGCGGCTGTTTTAGAGGCCGATAACGTAAGACCAAGCCTAGATATCACGTCAACTATAGCGTCGAGGCCTAGCTGGAGTGTTCGCTGCATGTTACTGTATGAGCTAGTTGGGGCAGTAGCCCAGAGAGCAACATCGTCGGCGTAAATTGCGATGTTTATGACTGGAGAGGGGTTGTTCAAGGGCTGCAGAGCCTCCGGCAGAGCTGCCATTGCTGCATTGAACAAAAATGGGCTAATGACGCTGCCCTGAGGAACACCCTGGGCTACTTGCCGTTGTGAACTGCGCACACCTTCTAAGCGAACGCACATTGTACGCCCTGTCAGGAATGCACGAGCGAATGCGAGTGCTCGGCCGGTAACACCAAGCCTGATTAGCTGAGCTAGAATGGTTTCGTGTGGGATAGAGTCAAAGGCCTTTTTGATATCAAGGAATATTGCCGAGGTTGCTTGGCGAGTTGCCTTTGATTGTTCCATGTCTGACACTAGGGGGGCTAAGCTCGGCGCGGCGAGATCGAGGCGAGTTCTCCGCCAAACTCTCCGACCGCCGCGACTGGTCGGCGCCGTGCATGACGACACGCGCCGACACTCCCTAGATCGTGACGTTAAACGGAGGGTTTGAGGCGGTCGGAGAGTTGCATATTCGGAACTCGCGGCGAGATGCGGTGACGTCATTGTGACGTGGCAGAAGCCGCCGCGGATGGGAAAAGCTTGCCGGCTCCGACCTAGGCGAATTTGGGCGAGTTGGGCGCGAGATCAGGGAGAAGCGTCCAAAATGGCAGCTTTTCGTTCGTGTTTTGCCGTCGACATAGGTATTTAAACCACGCCAATGTGTTGGACATGGACGGAAAGACGTGGTAAGGTGGCTGTGCGATGAACTGCGCGGCGAACCGGGCTTGAGGCGATGGAGCCGTGAATGAACCGTCGCCCCCGTCGTGAATCCTACATCCAAATTCTACAAAGTGAATCCTAGAAACAAATGTGTTTTTACGGCAATCTGCAACCAGGAACGCAATTTACGATTACCTACAGGCTTTTACAATTATTTTGATGGGTTGCTGTGCTGCGTAGATGCAAGATAAACGCACTTGATAAAATTCAAACTAAAACAGATGATAGAAGAAAAGAAATATACATGAATGGCGCAGACTAACAACTGTGTAATTTCTTTCTCATCTTTCTTCTTCCACACCGTATTTTGACAAACAAATTGGCCGTTAGTTGTTTATACAGCAGGAGAACATGCTAGAACATTGCGACATTGTCACCTACTGTAGATAAGCAATTTAGCCAGTGCAGTATGACTGCTAGCCTAGGGTCTTTAACGTGCACCACGTAGTAGTGATACACGACCGCATGCCGGTACGATGCTCATCAACATCAAAAAGGGCAGGGGTGGGGGTGAATCCACGATCCTGGGTTCTGCAGCGCGAGCTTTCGCTCCACGTGCACCCTATTCTGAAAAAAAAAATGTGGCTGTGTGGCGGTGTGGGGGGAGAAAGATGAGAAAGAAATTACACAGTTGTTAGTCTGCGCCATTCCTGTATGTTGTTTTTCGTCTATACTCTGTTTTAGTTTACATCTTTATCAAGAGCGTTTTTCTTGCATCTACGTGGCGCAGCAAACCATCACATGCAATGTCTAGTCAACTAGCCCACATCCAAGCAATGTTTGTATAATTAGCATCCCTGCTGTTACCTATTCTTATTTGTCATTTACGATTTAAATAAAAAAAATAGGGCTGTATGTATGTTGATACTGCCTAAAACTTGGTCTGCCTCAACGGGGAAGATTCTCCCAGCTGTAGATGAGAAATTTAGCCATGCAGTGCCGTACAACCGCTAGCCTGGGGTCTTTAACGTCCATCCCGCAGTAGTGTTACACGACTGCACGCCGGTACGATGCTCATCAACATCGAAACAGGCAGGGGTGGGGATTGAACCCAGCATCTTGAGTTCTGCAACGGACCTTTCGCTCGACGTGCTCCGAGCTGGTGTGCGCTAGCCCAGCCGGCCACCGATCCCCCGATTTAAATAAAATAAAAACCCTTCACTGCGGAGCGTAGGGAAAAATCGGAGCTACGCTGGGGAACTCGCCGCCGCCGGGGGGGTCGAAAATGTAAGAGGGGGAGTGGGAAACTCGCCGGGGCGGAGCCCAAAGGAGCTCCTCCCCTCCCTCGTGACGTGGCATCGGAGAGATTCCCGCCGGAGGCGAGCTTAGCCCCCTAGGTCACCAATCGCGTCTGTTGTGCACCGCCGTTTTCGGAAGCCTGATAATTGATGAGGTAGAGCGCCAGATGTCTCAAGCTGCCAGTCAAGGCGTCTTAGGACCATCCACTCCAGAACCTTGCCGAGACAGCAGGTGAGGGAGATAGGCCTGTAGGAGCTGATGTCACCGGTTGGCTTCCCTGGTTTATGAACGGGAACTACTTCAGATGTGAGCCATGCGCGTGGCAGAACTGCCGAGCGCCAGATGTCATTGAGATATTCCAAAAGGCCCGGAAGGGCCGTTGCATCTAAATTGCGCAAGGCCTGAAAGGTGATCCCATCTGGCCCTGGAGCGGTGCGTTTGCGAGCAGAGCGGCGAAGAGCATGTTGGAGTTCCTTCAGCGTAAAGTCCACGTCGTTCGCGGTCAATGTTGTTGGTAAAGTGATAGTAGTGGTGCTATGCGCGGTATAGCCTTGGGGTGAGACAGGGACAGAGGTGAATTCATCGGCAAGGAATTCTACTGCTTGAGCCACAGTGATGTTCTGGGCGATGACAAGACCAAGAACGGGTGACCGTGGAACAGCGTGCCCGGCAAGGGCACGGGCCATGCGCCACGCTTGTTTTCCTCCACCAGGGGAGTGAAGCGACTCGCAACGCTGCCGCCATTGTCTCCTTTGTAATCGTTTGGTGTGCTTCCGGAATGCTCTGTCTATCTTTCGATATCGCTGAATGTCCTCTTGCTTTGATGTTTTAAGTGCTCGGCGCTGTGCCTGGCGTCGCGAGGCACGTAACTTGAGGTACTTTAGGTCAGGGTTTGGCCGATATATGGGAATGATCACGGTTCTGGTCGCTTTGGATAATGCATTGGAGATGGCTGTGGTGTAATCCAAATTGCCTAGAGACATTATTTCGGCAAACAACACGCGGTAAGCATCCCAGTTAGTCACTTTGCAAGTCTTGTGCGTGGTGGGGCCTCCTTCTAGTGAAGTAATTTTGATTGGTAGGTGGTCACTGCCCCAGCTATCAGGTTCCGCTGACCATAAGGCTCGTACTGGGGACGTAGTGAAGCTAAGGTCTAGTGCACTTCCCTCCACGCCAGGTCGTACGAAGGTGGCCACTCCGTCGTTCAAGCATTGAAGACCAAGGGCAGTTGCGGCATCCTCAAGCAGTCGCCCGCGAGGTGTTGTTTTCTTATCCCCCCAGGTCTCGTTGTGGGCGTTAAAATCCCCAAGAAACAGGGTAGCTGGTGCGCATCGTGAGAGAATTGCACGCAATGAGGAGGGGTCCCACTGAACGTTAGGTCTAATGTAGACTGAGATGACAGTGACGTCTGAGTTCCCTTTTTTGATTGTGACAGCGACATATTCGGCGATGTTGTCGCAGAAGTCCGACAGGTCCACTTGTAATTGAGGTAGATCTCGGTGTACGTACAAGGATGCCTTTGGAGGATCTGTTGATGTGAGAGTCGTCCGAGGCGTACTATTGTAGATAACATAGGGCGACAGACGAATCGATTGTGGTTGGCAGTTTGTCTCCTGGAGGGCTAGTACTTCAATTTGGTGCTTTTGTAAATATTGCCGTAAGTCGTCTATCCGATTTCGTAGTCCATTAACATTCCACTGAAGAATCTGAGGTATTAAACAGCGTCTTGCGCAGCGAGGAAGATGATTTTGCGTCGATTGCAGTCCGGCCTTATTAAGGCGAGACTACCTAGACCAGGAGCTGGCAAGTGGCAGGAGCATGTCGATTACTGTAACCAGTGCCTGAGCGAATGGAAAATTTAGAGACGTGAGAAAGGTACGTAGCTGTATGGCTAACGTACAAATCGCACTTCCGAAGCTTTGAGGCTTAAGTGTTGCATTAGGTATTGGTTTAGGATCACCAGGTGGCTCACTGTGCTTTCGGGTTGGCCGGGTCAGACCTCTTGAAGGGCCTTTTTTGGCGGTAGCTGCTGAAGCACTAGATGGCTGAGTGCTTGGTCCAGACTGTACTGGGGGAGCTGCTGAGGCGTCTGGAGCAGTTTTGCCTGTCAAGTTTTCCAAAGGAGGGAAGTTATCCTCGCTCTGGAGTGGAATGCATGATTGCTTATCTTCTTTTGAGCCTTGTGATCGTTTTCGAGGTGTCCAGTGTCTTCCAGTTCCACACGCCTCTTGGTCGTTTTCGATAGCAGATTTAGCGGAAGTGTAGTTCACATTTTTCGAGCTTTTGTAGTTGCTGATTTGTCTTTCTACTTTGTAGATGGCACAGACTTTTGATGTCGCATCATGGCGCTTCTTACAGTTGGCACATTTAGGCTGCTCCGCTGCACACTCATTTACTCCGTGGTCGCCGCCACAGCGACTGCAGCGCTGCGCCTTAAGACAGGTGCTTGCAATGTGGCCGAAGCGATTGCACTTCGGACACTGCCTTGGCTTTTCAAGGTAGGGAAGAACTTTGTAACGTGTATGCCCGGCAGTGACATATTCAGGTGAGGATTTTGTTGCGAAGACCAGTTTGACAATTTCTGACTTTCCAAGTCTTCTCACCTGGATTACTGAAGCTTTTTCTCGCATGGCTGCCAAGAGATCAGCGTCCTCGATGTCTGCAGATACTCCTCGAATAATACCCACAGATGCCGATGGTGGAGGAGGTTCGTAAGTTTGAACTTGAACTGTTCCCAGGTTCTTCAGTTGCAGGAGTGCTTTTGTGGATTCTACATTTCTAGCATCGATGGCCAGAAGATTCAATCGGTAGTTGGGCCGAATCTGGATGACACCGTCTGGGGCCAGACTGTCCAGCTTTTGTTTTAGTACCAGAGGGTTCATGTTGGTGATGATCGTGGTTGGGTCGTTAGGCTTAACAATGACTGTGAGATTATAACCCGGCTGAGTTATGATTGTGTCCTCACTTGACTTTGAGCCGTGACGTCTCTTCTTCGACGTTTGGGTTTGCCACCCAGCTTCGTCCTCGAAGTCATCCATGACGCTATCATGAGAGTCTTCAGGCTTGTGATGTGGTTCGGCAGATCCAGATTCATCCTGGTTAGGCTGTGGTGGATTCGGGAGGCTCATATTACGTGGCCCCCGTTGGGCGGAGTCGTAGCTCCTAATTGGGTGTGGACAGGAGACGTCTTCTTGAAAAACCAGGGAAATATTCGGTCAATAAACCAGGAAATAACCATAAAATAACGTAGTCTTCCTAGAGCGACAAATTCGATCGTCCTGGCTGGAGCGTCGTCGTCGTCGTTCCCGTGCTGCCCGAAACATTCTGTACTGTGTAACGGTTTCATATTGATAAGAAATAAACATCGTAGATCTACAGTTGGTTCTAAAGAACTTGATGAGCGTACCATCAACGCGGTATACTTACGTACGTTTCCAAGGGGACGCACCCAGCGACTCTTTTTCACAGCTGCACAGGCCGCAAACAAATAACGGTGACAGACTATGTCTCCTATACTTCCCAACTAATGGCCAAACTTTCAACATACACGGCTCTAATTTTCTTACATCCGATCCAAAAATGCCCATGAGCGGAGCGATCAAGAGGTGTCGCCCTCTAACATGCTTCGCGGTGCCTGTTTCAACAATCGGCGTGCAGCGTCTCCGTCTACGCGACATAAAGGGAGCAACCGGAGCGACTTGTCAAACAGATCAGCCTACAATCTAGGCGGTAACACGACATAGGAGGTAGGGCGCAGTAGAACCTGAACATGCACCACAGAGCTTCGCTTTTTGAGTGCTGCCGCCAGCTTGGCCATCACTTCAAGCACGGATCACGAACTCGCTCGACGGGTCGACGCGCCCACAAGCCTCAGCATGGGATGGTATACGATCTACGAAGATCCCCCACACACCGCGGGCAACTTGGCACGTATTGTTATAACTCAGAAAATAAACCAAAGACTGATCCCATTCCGGTCTATATGTTAGTTCTTAAAAACTGACAACCACCACAAACCCAAAAGGAACAACGCCATATGTTGGCTAGATAGCGACGAAACTGTCGAACTTGTGTGACTTCAACCTACAACTTCCAGTCGAAACAACCGAAATTTCGACCAAAAAGTTTCGGAATCTTCCCAAACAGTTCGAAACCGAACCTCCGGAGTTTCGCGCATAGTATTTGCTCTAAAGCGCATAGCTTATTTATTGACTCTAGTGTAGGCCTGAAATGATAACCCCGGCAGTAACAAAACGAAGCAGAGATGGGCGTGGACAACATAAAAGTTCCAGCGGAACCCCGCGACGGAGTCCAGTTAGGCAACTCCCACTTTATACACGCACGTTTACGTAAACATACAGAAGGACTCCAGGACTTCGCCGATGAGAGAGAAGTACCGGCTCTCGGTTCCACCTCAGCGCATCTCTCCGAGACCATGGTCGCTTAATAGCCGCCGTTAATCACTACTGATGGGCATCAATGCCGCACCTGTAGCAAAATGACCCGAGCGCGAAACACATTTTTAATCTTCGCCTCGTCGGATTTGTTTGTTTGTTTTTCCCCCCGCGAGGTCCTCCGGCTAGTCCGTCTAATGAGGTCGTGCGGTCGTAAAAGCCTCTCATCCTTTCCGGGGGCTGTTTTCGAAGTACGATATCCGACGTCTGTTGTCATTCACCGGATGAACGTCGACCGACGAGCGACATTCATCGTGAGTACGGTGAAGTCTTCGACTGGTGGATTTAGTCAAGACCACCTAAAAAAACAAGGTCTGTCCACCCCCGCCCATCTCCCTAAACGCCATCAATCCAAGCAGCGCAGCGTGGACCTTGCGTCAGCACCGCCGTCAAGCAGGTCTTGCAGCGTCTCGCATCGAGTGCGACGCAAACACACGGCGTCACCGAGACGGACGCGTCTACCGAGCTTCGGCCTCTTTGCCACTTGAGGCGGGTCGGGAATTCCCTAGCCATGACGTTGGCGGCAAGGTCGAACCATAGGGAGCGCTGAGCTTCTCTTTTTTTCGCACACCTCCATGTTTACCCATCTCAAGGCTCGCGTATACACTGGCTTCGTTTCGTCACCCGCGTCGATCAAGCGCCGTATACAAACTGGGGAGGAGTGCTGAGTTAGCGTTCGGCGGGGTCTCGTGTGCGGCGCATCACCGATAGAGCGCGAGCTCTTGCCGTAGGCTGACGCGGCGTTTGGTTACGTGTACCGCGAGCTCGGCGCCCGAAACACAGACGAATAGTTCGTGTCGCTGTTGTCCTCCTGGGTTTGGTTCACAACTTAGCCGCTAGGGGCGTGACGGTTGGATCTCTTCCCCAATACCGCCCGTGCATGGAAAAAATGGCCCCGAAGTGGTAACGAATTCCGTCGCGGAAGGTGGCCTGTCATGCTGTCGGATGTCGCGATCCTAGCGTTTGGTCCTGGAAGTTATAGACAAAAATTGCACGAGCTTGATCATACTGACAATAGATGGGAAGCACAGAATGCGTACCGCACAAACGACACGCCGTGTGTAATCTGCGCTCGCTTCTTTTTTTCATTGCTTACACAGATGTTAGCTAAAGCGAAAAGCGAACGAGGGCGCAGCACGCGCAACGTTATATGGCTCTTGCGCAATGCGTGTCGTTTTTTTTTTTTTTCGTGTTGTATTTTCTTTACATCTTGCCATTTATAACGGTGGATGTGTTAAAGTGAAGGTCAATTACGTTGTCCGGTGTTATTATTGGTACGTACAATATAATTATTTGTGTCCTGTTTAATGCAGCAGTGTTCACCCTTTCCTTAGCCACCGATCAGCCGGCTGGCAGTATTCTCATAAAAATTAATTAATTAGTTATTAATTAATGAGGCGAGCGGTCAGATGATATGACGTCACTTCGCTCTCGCTAGTACGTTTTCCGCCAGCGCAATGCTTCCAGACTAGCTGTGCTACGCAGCTTGGCAGTCGTAGTGCTTGATTGCAGTCGCACTGACCCAGGTTCGAGCCCCTCCGGGCTTCTTTCTTGCGTTTTTTTTTTTCTTGTAGTTAAAGTTTTATTTTTGTATCCTTTTTTTTTTTTTCATTCGTGCAACGCTTCCGACGTGTCGCTCGTTTATGTCGCTCGTTTATGACGCTCGTTTATGACGCTCGTTAATGACGCTCGTTAATGATGATTTTCTCGGCGGTCACACTGCGCATACCATCATACAAAAGACAGTCGGCAAACGCGAGTCACCGGAATATCCGTGGTTCGAATGCTGCGTGCCAAGTTTCTTCCTGGAACTCGTTGCCATGCGGCATTCGCAGCACTGATCTCGCGGTGACTCGCGTTGTGATCTGTACGCAGACTGTCTTTTTTTTTTTTAGCAGTGTGACCCCGCGGCTTAAGCTTCTGTGGATTGTCCAGCTGCAGAGTGACCTGCAGCAGAGCAGGCGTCTGCCACAATGGCCTCCGCTGCTGTCACCACCAGGATCGCGGCAGGTAACAACAGGTGGCACTTTTATCGTGTCGTCGGGCGGAAACCGAGGAACGGCAGATGCAGGAGGACGCGGTAAAAACACCCGTCGGACACGCCTTCCAGGCACCATGATTGCGAACGTCTCCACGGAAAAGAAACCATTTCTTAAAGAATCTTCAAGTTGGAATTGTCGCGTCATATTGGGTTCAGGGCTACCTGGTAAAGCAACTTGGGCTAAATTGCAGAGTGTACCGGATGGAGCGTTGGCCCTTTGAAAGGACCGAAACAAGCCGTGCAACTCGCCACCGCCTTGTCTCTGCTCGCGTGAAATAACAATTGGGGTTGTGTGGATATTTAGACAGCGTGTAGTTGATAAGCCATTTCAAACTTGCGACGAGTCACTCGCTGTGGATGAGCAATTTAGCCAAGCCCGTACAAATGCAAACTTGGCAAAATGACGCTCACGCGCACGGTGCACGTGCTTGCACACATGGGGCACCAGTCGCAGCGCCATGCTGGAAATTGATACAATTCATATACAATCGATACAATTCACTGCAGAGGCGCGCTCGTAGGCGGTGCATTTGTTATCTGAAAGTAGGTGAATACGAACTCACCTATGTCAAAAACAAAATCTTCAAGTGTTTTCCTCCTATGATAACACAACCAGCTAACTAAGCATTTCTTTTTTCTTTTTTTTTTCTGGATCCTCTAAGAGTATTATGATTTATTGTGGCACTTAAAGGGGCGGTGCAACGATTTTATGATTAGAAGAATTTGCATCTCGTCATTTTTACGTTGTTTATCGTGTCCCGGAGGATAGGGAAAACACCTCCTTCATTAAAAATGTCGCGATTCCGCTGCATAATCGCAAAGCAAAAGTCGAGCTTTTTCCCCCACCTGCAGCCCGAAGTGGCAGCCGAAGGAACTACGGTGAAAAGATTACGTGACCTCGCTCGGCTCTAAGCTGCAGCTTAACGCCCGCTAATGTCAGCAGAGAGAGGGAAAGGAAGCGTCCTCCGAGAGAGCACACGGGAAGCTACACGGCACTCCGAATGACGTCACTAGGAGGGGGAGCAGGTGTGACCCTGAAGGCTGGGAGTGAGTTGAGGGGTGCCCGAAATGCCAATATTTATCGTTTTTTTACGCAACAACTAGGACACGCAGGCGAAATCGGTTTTCGGTTCTTTAGTCCAGAAGTGTCAGAGGTCAACTTTCAGAAATCTTTGACCGAAGTCCGGAAATCGTTGCACCCCCCTTTAAATTGCTGCAGAGAAGGGGATGGAATTGATTGCCAAGCATGTTTTGGTTATCTGAAACTCCAATGCATTTTGTAAGAGTCGATTTGTGTCTCGCTTTAACAACACTTCAGAGATTACTCGTGAAAACCACAAAAAAAAATCAGCTATCGGTTTCTACAGCGTAACTAAAACTGGTGTCATTTTCAAGAGTGGGCCTTCTGCAGATTCAAACGCGTATACTACTTATTTTACTCAACACAATAGTAACCCCTATATAAAATAAGTCGGGCGTCACCCCCTTGGCAACTGAAAGACCTCCCTGCAGTTCCCATTCTGTCAGTGGGTCTAACGACTCCCTCTTCCGTCTCGTCCTTTTCTGCAGTCTTCGACGCGTGCCTGCGCGACCCGTGCTCCGAGGACCCCTACGCCGGCACCTGCATGCAGAACTTGGTGATGTACTTCCACAACCGGCACAACCACGCCTGTCAAGAGTTCACGTACACCGGGTGCGGCCGAAACTTCAACATCTTCGTGACGAGAGAAGAATGCCATCGAGTATGCGTAGGTGAGCGGCGGAACAACAAGTACTCATCGGAGAGTTACGATTGACCTCATGCGTGTAGGACGCGTTCGAACACCAAAGCCAAACGCCTGACGCCGACGTTCGGTAAAAATGGTAAAACAAACCGGAGCTCGACGTTCTGACGTCCCCTGGATCTCTCGTCTCCCCCTCTCCCTCAGTTTCTCGGCACATATGGGGCATATTCACCGATGTTGCTGCGAAAGACCGACGACCAGTTCGCGCTTTCCATTTTTTCCTCGATTCTTCCCCTCCCCTCCTTCTTCCCTGTCCACCGTTGCCTGTTTGCGCCTCCCCCATGGTGAGGAGGATATTCTGCCTTGCAGAATCTCAAGTCTGGCCGTCGGCCTTTAACCGCGTGCTGACGGCAAGCTTCCACGGTGTTTTTTCAACGCGCATTCCACGCCATAAAGATTTGCCGGTCTGGGGAACTTATAAAGGCTCGTTCACACAGACCCGTTTTCTTACGTTACGTTAGGAAAAGTCACCGGGAAATCTGTGCTTCGTATTAAGCGTGACTACCAATTCAGGAGATAGCCTGGGGCACGCGACATTCTGAAGATGAATGTTTCGGTGACGACGAGCTAGGACGGTAAGTTACCGTGGCAACCAAGGACACAAGCACGGCCACTCGATTAGGACTTCCCTTTCAATTGGAGAAAAGCCTCTGTGTTTCGACCCAAAACATCAGACCGCCAGGACTCGTGACACAAGGCTCGTCGTAACGTAACGTAAGGAGTTGAGCTCGGTTCAACTTTTCACACAGCACCGTTTTCTTACGTTACCGTGTCTCGAATGTCGCGTGCCAGGCTATCGGCCTGAATTGGTAGCCACGCTTAATATGAAGCACAGATTTCCCGGTGACTTTTCCTAACGTAACGTAAGAAGACGGGTCTGTGTGAACGAGCTTTAAGTGTGACCTCGTTCTGAGCAGGCATAGTTAGGCATAGTGAACGTTTTACTCAGATATTGCGTCCAGTGAATACCCCCTACAAAAAGGAGTCTCGTGTTTTCAGTAAATACCGATAAACCCGTAAAGCCAACGTCACACTGCTCACACAAGAGACAGCCTGCAGGCAAACGGGAGTCACCGCAATATCCGTGGTTCGAATGCCGCATGCCAAGCGGCGGTTCATATTTAGCTATGGCGTTCTATTTTTTTTTTTAAATCGATTTAGCAGTTTTGGATGACGTTCAGCAAATTTTTGATTGGAACAGTATTTATATTTTCACAAATTAAAAAGTTAATAAAGATATTTTAGTTAATTATTCTATTTATCGCGGCAAAAAAGACAAGGACAAGAAGTATAGAAGACAAGCGCTAACTTTCAACTAGTTTTACTCAGGAAAGGCAAGCATATATACACACGACAGGCAAAGCAGCACCACATAAAAGTTGATTAATTTTTACCCGATCATTCAGAAACTGAAATTCATCACTATGAAGTACAATAGAAGTGTCGCTGACACATGGCGTCCTACTTGCCGTCCCACATGCGGTCCCGCCGATTGGTTGCCGCTTTGCGGTTCGTGAAAGCGGTTGGGAGAAATCGGTTCCGAAGCGGTTGGCAAAAACGCGCTCCAACCGCTCGATCCTAGCTGCTTTGCGGTTGAGAACGCGCGGATTCGCTTCGCGTTTGCGGATCCGCTTCCAGTGTGGACGCGCCAGTAGGGAGCTTTTGTAGATGGTGTCCGCTGTTCCGGCTACGTTCTCCGGAACCCGATATACGAGATCCGGGACTCTGCAGACAGGGCTAGCGTCGCGCATTCCCAGTAGTGGCGTCTTCGTTCTAGAGAGCGGAGGCGGGAAAACGGTGTACGAAAACTCCCTATTGGCAGCGTGCCAGATTCTTTCCTTACTTCAAGTGGGGAAGTGAACCGAACAAGCGAACGAACGGAGCGAAAGAGAACGGCGGGAACCGCAACGCGGCCTCACGAAACCAGTCCACTCCGAACCAAGCCAAACCAAACCAGCCGCTGGCGCAAACATGCGCTCCGATAGGAAACCGAAACCTAAAAACACTTTTTTTTTTGTTCTTTTTTAACACTAAAATGCTGCACCTTTCTTATGTCTTCCAAAAATGACTTGATTTAGTGGTTTTCTACGACGATGAAAGTCTCTAACTGGAACCGTATGCGTTTATTTTCACTAATCAGAAATTTAACTAGCTAGTACATCTTAATTATTTAGATAAATCGTAACTTTTTTATCCCTGACGTCCGCCGTGACTGGAAAGACGTTTGTTTTTGTTTCTTTCTTCTCAACCACCATTTATTAGCGATTTTTTTTTCGGTCATCGTTGAAACACCCGGTAGATATAAAAAGCCGTAGTGCTGAAATTTCTACGTCGCATCCTGAGGGCCAGCGCAAGTCATATTGGACACGAGTATTGTGTCCGGGTTCGGTTGGGGCTCACGTTCTGATCGAAGGCGAGTTTCAGCCGAAGCACTCGTCTATCGGAGGTTAACTTGAAGAAAACAGAGCACGGGTATGGAGTTCGCCAACCTCTAGGGAACATGCACCAGTAGGTAGAAAACGTCCCGGTAGCGATCAGAAAAGAAAACAAGTTAGGGGTCTGGTTACCGGAGTAAAAAAAAAAGTGGCGTCCATCTCGGACCGTTTAGTGCGGGCTGCGTTCCGAGTCAACACAAAATGAAGCTGTAGACAATTTTAATGCGAGAGCATTAACTGTCTCATGGAGCGAGCTGACGTCATCAGTTAGAAGCGCGAAAACGGCACCTCGTTTCCTTCGGTTCCTTTGTCTGGCGCGCGTCGACGGGGTTCCCATTAGCCGCTGCGATCGTCAGTTTCCACGACCGCTCACCCCATGTCGCTGCGTGTCCACCAGCGCGCCGTTAACACGGAGCGTCCAAGGTCACCTTGCCCAGGGGAGCACGCGCGCTGACCGGCGACGAAAAGTACGCAGCAGCAGTGTTGCCAACCGTAGGGTAATTACCCTACTTGTAGGGTATTTTAGGCATTTTTGGTACATTGTAGGGTTGTAGGGCCGTCCGGCCATTTCCCTGCCAAAAGTAGGGTATTTTCAGACGTTGCTTCGTCAACGGCAAACATAATACAAAAAAGTAAAAAAAAGCTGATGTGCAAGCTTTGCACAACTTTACAACCCGTGTGCTCCACACCGCGACATCATGCAAAACGAAAGTATCCAAGTTAGAAGACGCGCTAACAGAATGCACCACACGCCAAGTTGGAGCAGAGTTGTAGTGAAGTCCCTCGATGTTTTTTCTGGAGAGTTTTGGAAAGCTGGAGCAGGTGGGAGGAGGTGGAGTTGCGCATATGGAGTTTGGAGCCAGAGGAGGTATCTTCCCAGTGGAAATGTTGCCGCCAATTTTTTTCTGATGACTCTGGTCCATCCGGCGGCCCTTGTTACACCTGCGAAACACGTGGCATCGCGGGCGGAACCCGGCCGAGCCCACCAGAACCGGCAGCCACCTGTTCAACAGGACTTTTCTACGCGCTGGCGTAAGGTGCGCATGCTGCAAATAACCATAGCGGGAACTACCACTCGTACTGGGCGCTTTTTTTTTTTTTTTTATGGCGCATTGCAATTAACTCTCCTTACCACGCATATAGAGCGCTGATCTCGGATGATCGACGAGTTCGGAAGCCGATTTCGAAGCTCCCGCGGAGCTTCCCGGCACTTTGTGGAGTCGGTAGGCAGTTTGAAGACTGTCTACCGACTGCGCAAGTAGTTGGGACTGGAGGCGTTCACTTGAGTGGACGACATTTTAGCGAACAAAGTCGATTTCCTATCCTCCCTCGGTGTAATAGCCTAGTTTGTCGACATAGTACCTTAATTTGACGAATCCCTAGGCGGTTCACCGAAAATATAAACTAATATACCGTTCCTATTAGCTTCCTTTTGTAATGAGCCGCCTTGTCTGTCGCCGCGAGTGCTAGTCCTACGTAGCCCAGTTCTTAATTTGATGACAAATCAGCCAAACATGTTGGTTGGGGATGTCTGTGCGCTCGAAGCAACACTGTTGTGCTGATGCTACACAGCACGCATGCAAGCATGACGTTCTAGAATAACCCAGGTATGCGCGTGCATGCGTTCCCTGTCGCTTTGTACTGTATTAATACTAAGCTATATCAGCGTAATCCATGCAACAGCATTATTTGAACAAAGATTTGCCTCGTAGGGCAGAATGTAGGGTAATAAGAAATATTCGTAGAATAACGTAGGGTTTTCTGGACGCTGGCGTGGGGTATTTTCAAAAAATAGGTTGGCAACACTGCGCAGCAGACGAAAAAGGCAGCGGACGAGCGGCTTGCATGCTTTCGCATTCACAATTCATAAGAAGTGCTTAGGTGTACCTCAATCTCTTTTCCCATGAGTATATTTTTCTCCAATGACAGCTATAATATATGCGCTTGAGATGCAATTTATCAGAGGTGTGTGCTGCTGTTGGTAACTTTCGCTCCGGTGACGCAAAAAGAGCAGCCGAATGCGTTCGTTTAACGGTCGCCTTCGGCCGTTGGGCGGGACCGTTGAACGAACGAACCCCTTCGGTCCGATCCCGGTCGCATCCGGCATGCCTTCGGCCGTCGTGAAGGCGACCGTCGAACGGTCGCCTTTGACTGTCGTGAAACCGCTGTTGTTCAACGGTCTCGCAGGAGGTTGCAAAAAAGTTCCGCAATACGGCATGAAAAAGACCTGGAAAGCCAACAAGGCACTTGGCTCACAATCTCAACGTGGTGAATTCAAATCCTGCCGGGGTACTGAAATCGTTTTATATGGCCATTACAGCAAAACGTTAAAGGACTCGTGGAAATCTGCTTATAAAACACATTGTGTGTTAAGATAAGGCAACCCCTTAGGTGAAACACGGCGACAGCTGAGGAGTGACATCGGAGACTCCAAAGTGTCATTTCGGAGCAGGTGGCGGACACGTAGCCAGGCGGTAGGGGACCTGAGCAATTGGACGCAAGACATCACGAGCCAGTGTCAACGACTGAACTT